AGTAACAACTAGTCAATTCCGCCTCTACATTAGTAAATTTTACTTTTTCAGCATTTACTCGCGCTTTTGGCACTTCTAATGTTAACGTGAGAAAATACAACTATTTTAATCCAAATATGATAGTGTGCGTATGGCGGTCTACAACTGAATGTTGACAGCAAGTGAACGCCGTCTGTCACATCAGCGACAAGAGGAAGATCGACGCATTCTGATTGGTTATTCTCTTTGATCAATGAAGAAGAGAGTTCGGTGGCTGGGTTAAGAGCCATTATTGTGCTTTGTTCGTTCTGTTTAGTGTTTCGCATCGCTTGTTTAACTTTTCGGTGTTGAACTGCAGATGACCAAAGGGAAAGTGTGGTGCTGTCATCCTACTCGACACATTGGAGCTAGCAAGGTTGGGTGCGTTCCCTCGCATCCGAAAGGAAAGTACGTTGCTTCTGCGACACTGGTGAACTTCTTGAAGAAACAATACGGCAGCGCTGCGATGAAAGTTCCGATGAATTCAAACAGTGGGCGTCTTTGCGTATGCACTAGTTGCCGCGAGTTCGAAAGTGATCGGCTTCGGAAGGCTGAGTCCTCCCGCGATGAAAGACGCGTTACGAATGACGAGAGTGGAATGGCGAAGCGCCTGCAACGACAAGCATCGATGAATCCGCTAGTTGTGCTAGACAATGATGTATTCCACTCACCGCAGCCAAGCTCACATTTGAAACAAGCTGAAAGCTCGGCCGATGACGAAGCGGGTATACTCTATGATCGCTGCAGGACGAAGGATGTTTGCAATGATGTGTTGCGAACGCTGGCAATCGAAGCGATCAGTGAAATGTGAGTTTTCTATCTGCGCAAACTGAGCGCAGTCCAGAGAATCTCGTTGTATTGCTTATAGGCGGAACACAGACGATATTCGTAACAAAATCAACCGCGCATGCGAGATTTTACAGAACATGTGTGAGAATCTCATCAACCTTGAGAAACAACGAAGGAAGATCGATTCTATAGAAGAAGAAACATCTTCACTTACTCTTACCGAGAGGCACGAACTAATCAGTGGTCTAAAGAATTTATACAACGTTAGCGACAAACACGAACAAGTACGATTATTAACAATAGCGCCAAGCAATTGGGGTCGACAAAGAATCGAAAACTTTTTCGAAAGTTCTCAGTGGCAGGCGCGTCAAGCGCGCGAACTTCGTTTGTCGAAAGGTGTTTTGGCTTTCCCAGATGATCGACGTGGTAATCAACCACTTGAATCGGCGGTCATTGATGCGGTGAAGACCTTCTTCGATCAGGACTGGATTAGTCGTGTTTCATCGAATAAATCGGACATCCTATTGCTAAAAAAGCAATCTGTTGCTAAACGCTTCATGCTCCTGACCATCGATGAAGCCTTCGAGAAATTCAAGAACGATTTTCCGCAGTACGAAATTGGTAGATCAAAATTTTTCGAACTCAAACCGCGTCACGTTTACTCGATCGCTCCTCATGACACATGTTGCTGTATTTATCACGAAAACTTCGATCTTGTGCTCAAGGTAATAATCAAGCCGTTCACACACAGCTAACTTCCATATATCGTCTGACTGCATAGGCATGGAACCGCGTAAGCAACGAACAAATCGACCGCGGAAGATTAATCAATGAAACACTGTGTGTCCCTCCCAATGAATCCTGCTTTTACCGTGACTGTCAGCTTTGCGGCGAGCGACAACCGTCGACTTTCGTCAGGAAGTCTTTTGATGGTGACGAAGATGATGAAATCGAGTGGACAAGTTGGAAACGGACAGAGAACCGTATGGCGTCGCGTCAAGTTGTTGGAAGTGTGAGTCTACTCTTGGATGATATCGATGAACAGTGGAAAGACTTTATTTCACATCATCATTACACGAAGATGCAACAGTCGGCCATTGCTGAGTTGAAAAAGGTAAAGCCCCTCAGATCTTTTCGCAATGACAGCGACGTTGCATATTTCTGTTATATCCGTCTTTACCCAATAGAAATCGGATGTCAACGGCATGGTGCTGATTCAGATGGACTTCGCTCAGAACTTCTCATTGACGTCTCAGCGTGAAGTGCAATCAGCACACTTCGATAAGCCTCAAGTGACACTCTTTACAGCGTTCATCGTGCTCGGATCCGTGCATAAAAGCTACGTGATAGTTAGCGACTATCTAGAACACGTACGATTCCACAACTAGTTGATCTGTCAAGACTTAACACGTATTGATCTGTTTCAGGACACTAAATTCGTCTACGCTGCACAGCAATACCTCATTGCCAGAGTGAAAGAGATTGCACCACATGTTCATCAGGTAAACTACGTCACCGATGGCGGACCTGCTCACTTTAAAAATCGATACAATCTTCTTAACCTTTCATTCCATGAGGTTGACTTCGGCATTCCTGCTGTGTGGACGTTTAGCGCCACTTCACATGGGAAGGGGCCAGTAGATGCGATTGGAGCGACGATTAAATCAGCAGCTACCAGATACTTGATGCGTCACGGTCCTGAGGAGGCATTTAAAAGTCCCAAGGATTTTTACACGTTCTCCAAGCAGCGGCAAGAATCATCGTCAACTCCGATTGAGTTGTTTTATCTCAATTCCAACCGCATAGCCAGTCTTCACCAAAAGAAAAACGAAGACAGATGGAGGAACACCAAAGGTTTGTCGCTTCATTGATGGCGCTTACATCTCTTTCATTTCTTTTCAGGACTTACTGGAATTCGCTCATTCCATCAGTTCGCACCAGTGACTTTCCGCACGATTCGGTGTTGGCGCACGACTACATCAACAGCGTTTCAGACTCGTCGACTATGATCTCTCTGTCGCCTGTGGGTGTTTCTGAAATCATGGTACTCAAGCTATTTTAATAAAAATTTTATTCGTTACTGTTTTCATCGGTTTCTCAGTGCTAAGGCGCGACTTTTCCGCAGCTCGTTACATTTCTCAGCGCTGTTCGACTCATCGACGGCTCCCTGCAATTGATGTCGTCTTTAGAGCAGCAATCATATTTGGATTAAAATAGTTGTATTTTCTCACGTTAACATTAGAAGTGCCAAAAGCGCGAGTAAATGCTGAAAAAGTAAAATTTACTAATGTAGAGGCGGAATTGACTAGTTGTTACT